GTAATAGTAGTCGTAGTAATAGTACTAGTAGTACTGCTAGTAGTAGTACTAGTAGTAGCAGTCGTAGTAGTAGTAGTAGTAGTAGTAGTAGTAGTAGTAGTAGCCGTAGCCGTAGTCGTAGTAGTAGTAGTAGTAGTAGTAGTAGTAGTAGTAGTAGTAGTAGTGGTGGTGGTGGTGGTGGTGGTGGTGGTCGTGGTGGTGGTGGTGGTGGTGGTGGCAGTAGTAGATGGTGGTAGTAGAAGTAGTCGAAGTAGCAATGAAAATACAGTTCGGCCTCGCCGCCCCTCTCCTCCGACCAACTCTCTTTGGGAGTGAGATCCAACGCTCAGCTAGAACAGGGGTATGCATCATTATCCAGGGCGCTCGGTTCAACAAGTGGCACGCGTGCCACGGCCCTTGCACAGAAGGGAAAGGGAAGGAGGAGGGAGGAGGGAGGAGGAGGAGAAGGAAGAGGAGGAGGTGGAGGAGGAGGGGGGGGAGAGAGGAGAGAGGGGACGAGAAATCGGAGAACGAGTGCCCAGAGAGGGCCGCAAAGAGGGCAAACTCGAGGAGGCTTCTACGGGCCGTCCCCCACGAGATGCCATCAAAGACCTTAACATGCCCCCCAAAGGCTTCCAACAGACACCCAAGAAACCCGCAGAGGGTCCCAGGAGGTCCCCGGGAACCCTATAAAAAGGCATTGACGAGAAACCCTGGGGCGGTGGGTGCGCTGCGACGCCGGCATGAAATGGTCGGGGCGGAAAAGGAGCGGAGTGGAAAGGGCACTGGGCTGCTGGGGAACGCTTGGGTGAGGGCGGTGCGACGCCGAAACAAAGTGGTCGGGGCGGAGGGGGTTCACGCTGGGGGGGGGCGACGCCGAAATAGAATGGTCGGGGCGGAGGGGGCGGGGTCACCGGGTAGAAACCGCGCAGGACGGGGGTGCGACGCCGAAAGGAGGTGGTCGGGGCGGGGGAGGGCGGGGGGCGGTGTCACGCTGGTGGTGGCGGTGGTGGGTGCGAGTGTGTGGGCGGAGGGGCAGGGGGTGCGGGGAGGTGGGGGCGGTGCGACGCCGAGATTCGAGGTTCGGAGCTCTATGAAGGGGCCCAGGGACACACAAATAAATACAGACAAATAACAGGATTTCCTGATATTTTCCCATATTTTCTGGGTTCTTGTCTTCCCCCCCACTTCCCATATTTTTCCATATTTTCTGGGAATCGACGGTTAAGTGTGTCTGTGTGTGTGTGTTTTCCCCTCCTGACTCTAGACACCCTGTGCAAGAGAATAAACGTGTTGAGGTCGGCGCTGACCCCCTCACTGGCTCGCGGAACGCTACAGTGACCAGGCCGGAGGCACCACCAGGGGGCTCCAGCGCCGATCAGAGAAATCCGCGCGGACCTCCGAAAGTGTTCTGTGCCCCTTGGTACTTCGATGACCTTCAACCCCCCCTTGGCCGTCCCCGACTTTTGCCGCACCGCGGACGCGTTGGACGCCCGAAGTGGTGACGGACAGTAATGGGTACGATGCCCAACCACAAATGCGACTTTGGCCTCAGATGCACGGCGATGCATCGCTGACGCTGGTGATACATCAACGACATCGGCATAGGTCAAATCGCGCTTCACATCGAGCCGCGTCGCCGATGCATCAGCGATGCGTCGAAATCCTCAGACCTCATCCCCATCTACTCCGACCCCGTCTGGGAGGCCCAGGGTCTGTTCTTTCCACTCTCTTCGTGCCCACTTCTCGGCGGCCAGCCCGGGGGGGGGAACGAGAGGGGGCTGGCCTTCTCGGAGGCCAGCCCGGGGGGGGGGAACGAGAGGGGGCTGGCCTTCTCAGAAGGCCCGTAGATCCCCCGCTTTCGAAGAAGTTTTCTGAGCCGCCCCCGAAGACGCAGACAAAACCTCTCAGAAGGCGGGTGGCCTGCTGAGAGGCCCCGCCGCCTTCTGAGAAGGCCTTTGCCCTCTCACTTCCCTCCCCTGCCCGCCGCCGAAAAAAATGGGGCGTCGCTTATTGGGGGGGGGAGGGGCGACACGCTAGTAGTGGAAACAATTGGCTTTCAAAATGTTTGGTCTTTAGAAGCTCTGCGTGGCGACGCCCCCGTCGCCACGCGTGCCCTCTGCGTTCCTGCGGGGGCGCCGCCGAGCAGAATCACTGGAGGCCGAGCATCTGGGGCGTCGCTGCGCACGCCCTCTGCGTGGCTGCGACCATGTGTTAAACCCCTGAAACCAATCAAATTCACTAATAACATTCGGGGGAAAACAAACCTACCTCGCTTTTGACCACCCTCGCTTCCAAGAGATACCGAACGATGCCAAATTGCAGCCTGTACTGGTCAGGCCGCTTGACGAGGAGGCGCGTGGTATGGCTTGGTTTTGCCTGAAAGCGAAAGCGGGGTAGGTAATTCACGCTCTGAAACATGGGGGGGGGGCAAGGCGCCCCCCCCCTCACGCGACGCCCACGAACTTCGACCCTGCCGATCCCCGGGCCTTCCCCTGCGGCGGGCACCGCAGCCTGCGCCGGCGCGGGCGCGGCCGCCGCGGGCGCGGCCTCTGGGCGCGAGAGGCCTTCTCTGCTGCCGGGGGCTCTTGCCGAGGCCCTCGGGGCCCCACGACGGGGCGGGGAGGGCGAGGGGGATGAGAGGGAAGGGAGAGGGGAGGGAGATGGGGGTGGGGGGGAGGGGAGGGGGAAGGGGGAGATGGAGGTGTGGAGGGTGAGGGGGAAGAGAGGTGGGGGAGAGGGGGAGGTGGGAGGTGGGGAGGGAGGGGGGGGGGAGGCGGACGGGGAGGGAGAAGAGGGAGAGGGGGGAGCGAGGCAGGGGTGGGAGAGGAGGAAGGGGGAACGAGGGGGGAGGGGGAGAGGGAGGAGGGGGAACAAGGGAGAAGGGAGGAGAGGGAGGAGGGGGAGGTGAGGGAGGAGAAGAAGGAGGGGGGACGGGCAGGGAGGAGAGGGAGAAGGGGGGGAAGTGCAGTCATGGGGGCCGGGCGGAGGGAGGACGGGAGGCAGGGTCGGCACGGGGGGGAGAGAGAGAGGGAGAGAGAGAGGCAGCGTCGGAGAGGGGCTCCTCCTGCCCACCCCTCCCCCTCTTCCCGTCCGCCCCCCCTCCCTCTCTCCCCGCCCCTCGCCTGCCTTTCGGTCGGGCATGTCCTCCTGCAGGCGGGTTTTGGAAGAAACATGCGAGTAGTCAAAAAAGATACCAAAATTCGAAAAATGCACTACAAAATCACAAAAATCGGAGAGACCCCCCCCCTCCGCCACACAGAGCCCCCCCTCCGCCGCACCTCCGCCGCGCCTCCGCCGCTGCCGAGGCCGCCGCCGCTTCCGCCAGCCCCAGACGAGGGGGATGGGCCCCCCACACGCCTGGATCCACATTCCCGTGGGATTACGACCGACCCGGCATCCCCGTGGGATTGCCGTGACATGTCCTCGGAACCCAAGCATGTTCTGATCACAGCTTTTTCAACAACACGTGCTCCTAGAGCATGAGCCCGATGCGTCAAGGCAAGACGATCTCAGCCAGGAACGTTCTGAGAACGCTCTGTGCAGACCGCAGAGGAGGGCTCTCAGAACGTTCTCTCATGGGCCTGCAGGCGAGCTGGGACGCTTCGCCAAGGCTGGACCACGGGACTGAGCAGAGATCGACCGTCCCGGCATTCCTATAGTCATACCACGACGTGTTCTTAAATGTTCTAGAAACAAAAACAATGTTCTTAGAACAGAAGCCCTCCGCCAGAAATGCTCTAAAAACATCTCGTGGGCACCACAAAAAGCTCTTAGAACATTGCTCGGTGGGGCTATAGGCGAGCTGGGACGCTTCGCCACTGCTCGACCACGGGATCGGCGGCGCGCCCCGGGGGGGCCGGCAAGAGGTGGCGGCCCCTCGCCATCGCTCGGACGTCCATTCCTCGTGTGTTTGTCCATTTCGTGCGTGTTTTTTTCTTCGCCAGATGATCCAGGATGGTCCTCGATGGCCGTCGCCGAGAAACAAATGCACACGCCCGAGCGATGCCGAGGCCCTGCTCAGAGAGGCCTCTCGGGAGGCCCCTTGGGCTGGCCGTCGCGAGGAGCCTCCCGGGCCTGCTCCGAGGGCACGGGGCGGCTCCTCGAGGGAGGCCCCGCGGGGGCTCCCGCGGAGCCCCCCCCCGGGCGCCTGCCGAAGAGGCCCGGCCCCCTTCTCGCTGCGCCGCCGCGGGGCGCGCTGCCGATCAGAGGCGGGGCCCTCGGCGGGAACGGCGATGGCTCGTCTTCGCCAAGAGAAGAGAAAGCACGGAGTCCTCCAGGACCTCCACATCGGGCGCGAGGCCGAGCTGGCGGTTGAGGAAGTCGAGCACGGGCGCCTTCTTGTTCACGCGGGCAGCGTCCATGATCGACTGGCCCTTCTTGTTTTTTATGTCCTGGCGAGAAGAAGAGAAGAGGAGAAATAAGGATACCCACCGTTCGGAAAAAGCGAATGGAAACATGAGGAAGGAAGGTGGAAGTATATCGGGCTTCCGCCCGCCCCATGAGGAGGGAGGCGCAATTAAATTATCGACCCACGAACCAAGAAAGGAATATATCAATGTGGGACGCCTGACTGGGCGACGAGCAAATGCAATGCTGAAAATATCGATGGTGGTGTACTGTGCGAGGGGCTGTCCTGTGTTGGGCCGTGCTGAATCTGGATGTGTCATACAGACTCTCAACTGTGCTCTATTGCCCAGTGAACCAACGAGTCGTCCTTGGCATCTGAATCTAGACCGAATTGATCTGGATATTAATCTAGAGCTGCCTGAACGCATAGCTCGGCCAGAACTGGTTGCAACCGAAACGTGCGGGGCGCTCAACCAGCTTGAGTCAACATCGAATTCAATTCAGTAACGGGACGAACCAATAGGGGGCGAACCTGGACCCATAATGGACGACCCGAAACGCGGCGAACCGAGGCGCGACGAACTGAGTCAAGACGAACCGAAACTATACGAACCGAAACGATACTCGAACCGACGCGCATCGAATCGGGGCAAAACGAACCGAGACCGGGAGAGGCCGCATACGGTTCGGCGTGTCCTCCTGAAGCCACGTGCCGTCTCCTGTCGAAAGAGCCGCCCTGCGCACTTACGAGGGGAGGGAAGAGACGCCACATGGCGGCTCCCGCCTCCCCTCGTAAATGTCAGAGGAGGTGCGCCCCCAAAGCCGCGATAATGGCGCAAATTGCAACTGATCCGTGCTGTCCTGACCTGTGATGCGTCATGTTGTTTCAAACTATGCTGCATATGCTGTGGTCCATTGCGTGGTGGACCGAGTCGTCCAGAGATGGATCGCAATCTCGAGCTGCCTCAACGCATAGCTCGGTCAGAGCTGGTTGCAATCGAAATGTGCGGGGCGCTCAACCAACTCGAGCTCAAGGTCCGATCCCATTCCGACACGAAAAGAACCCACAGGGGGCGAGCCCGGCACGAGGTAACACACACCGACGATGGGCGGACCAAAATGCGGCGAATCGAATCCGAACAAATGAAGCAGGACGAGCCGAAACAATACGAATCGAGACGAGGGCTGAACGCCCTAAAAAAGCGGATTCAACTCACAGGCGAAAGGAAGCAATGTATCTGCACATGGTTTCAGCTTACGTGCGAGGGGGCAATGTAATAACGCGTGGTTTCAACTCACTGGCAACAGGAATCCAGGAACATGACATAGTTCCAGCTCGCAAGCAAAATAACACACGCAAAAAAACGTGATGTCAACCAACTGGGAAAATTCACATCCAACAACATGTGGTGTCAGCTCACGGGAAGAAAGAACCCATGACAAAAACACTCCATGTGAGCTCCTCCTTGGCGGTAAACCGAAACCCCACGAACTGAACCAAGACGAACTGAAACAATACGAACCCAGACGAGGGCCGAATCGTGTACACAACGTGTCAACTCTCGGGCGGAAGGATCAGATGTAAAAGCACACGGTCTCAGATCACTGGCGAAAGCAGCCAGCGGACATAAAAAACACGTCGTGCCACCCCAAGGGCGAATGGAACCCATGTAGAAACAGACAGTCGCAGCTCAGGAGCGAGAAGGAACCCATGGAAACGTGGGGTCAACTCACAGGAGGAACCCCTTGTAAACTCTATTTCTATATACATACATACACATATACGCACATACATATGCACACATGATTCCATCTTGCTGACGGCAGGAACACATGCAAAGGACTGTGCTTTCAGCTCACGGGCTCTGCGTTCAAATAATCGGTTTCAGCTCCTGCTTCTTCCCGCCCTCGCGGACGAGGCCCCCCGCTCACAACCTCCTCGAATTTCACCCTCACACGAGGCCCTCTTTCCAGACGTCCTCCAAATCTGCTGAGGCGCAAACCCGATGATCGCATGTTAGATATCCTCTCACGTGAAAGCACGTGCCAAATGCACGGGCGCCATACGCTTGTTCAACATTTTAGTTCGCCATCCCCTCGCGAACTCGCTGTTCATCGCTAGAGAAGCTTGCCGGTCTTACTCAAGTTCAGGACACAGGAGAAGTTCAGCACATAAAAAACAACCCTGGGCCTCAGTCCCTTCCCGGGAAGACCACTTGACACTTGAAGTAGGAAGGCGCCTGGAGTAAATACTTGACTCTCGGGGTCCACAAATACATACTTTCAACGACCGATGGGCACGGATGGCAACGGAGATGGCGACGCGGACCGCGACGACGATCGTCCGACCCTGACTGCTCGGTGTGTCCTTCCACGAATTGTCGGGCCAAACCTCGTCGCCTTCGGAGATCAGCAGCTGAAGAACTTCCAGATGCCCGTAGCCAGCTGCGTAGTGCAGGAGGCTGTTGCCCTGGCCGTCGAGCCTCACCATGTATTACATTATTGTTTGTTCTCTCTCTCTCTCCCTCGATCTGGTGCCAGAGACAGGGGAGCGAGAGAGACGGAGAGACGGAGAGGCAGAGAGACAATGACTAGGAAGCGGAGGACGGTCACGGGGATCAGAGGAACACGACGAGGAAGACGAGGACGAGAAAGTGCAGGACGAGGAGGAATACGGGCGGAGGGAATGCGGACGAAGAGGACGAGGAGGTCAGGCGGCGAGCGGCCGAGGAGAACGAGGGGGGTGCCCAGGACGAAGAAGACGAGAATGGAGGACGCCAGGCCCGGCCTCTTCAGGTCCGCGCCGCGCTCGATGAGCAGCTTTACGACGTCGGTGTGGCCGCAGGCGGCACCGTAGCCGATGGGGGCGATCTCCTGCAGTGGCCGCGGCACAGTGCACAACACCCAGCTTGCAGACTTTTTTGTCAGCGGCCGCAGGCGAGCGCGCCAGCGGCGAGTCCAGTCAGAGCGGGAGGCGCACAGACGAATTAACCTAAAGCGGTAAGGCGGAGCCTCACGCAGCACCTCAGCGGCTGGCCGTCGAGTGGAGAGGGCAGGCGGTAGGCGGGTCACCAGTACTGCCAAAGTCACGTGCAACGAGTCGGAAGCGGCGGGCGGCCAGGGTAACCGGCAACCAGGGAAAGCTGCAGACGGGAACCAGCTCGCAGACGTGCTGCAACGGATTGTTGCGTGGATTTCCGGCAATGCAAAACCTCGAAACGGCGAGCGAAAAACGGAGTGAATTTCACGTGGATGTTTGTTTAGTCTTCATTCCTGGCCAAACAGAACACCGCACTAAATTCACGTCGAAATCCGGAAAGAAATTCTTCAGGACACTCCAGACCCATCCTATTGTTTTCCGAACGAAACCCGCTCTGCGATGGTGAAGCCATGACACAGTGGGCCGCCGCGAGCGGCGCTACGGCAGGTTCGAGCGGCGTCGGCGCGCGCAAAAAAATTTGCGACGCCGCGCCGATCGTTCCACCACGAACCGATCGCGCCCCCACTCGTTCAAAATTGAGTTCTGTCAGGTTCGCTAGCGTTACCGTGTCCCTTGGTGCTTTTGCGTCACAGGATTCAACATTGAACACTTTCGCAAACGTCGCCGGCGCGCCAACCCCACATCAACCTACCAGAGCTGGGTTCGCAACCGTTGCTGCTGCTGCTTCTGCGGGGGGGGGGGGGGGCAACATGCTCACAAACCTCTGCAGTCTCTGCCGCGGTACAGACAACCTACTACCTTAAAGAAATCTAGATAAGGGATGGACGACCTTGTAGGCCGCAGAGCCGCATGGGTGCATGAGGGGCACTAAGGGGAAAGCAGGAGATGACCCAATGAACATCGAGCCCCTTCCAGACCCGAGCCGTTCCTTTCTTCAGCGCTCTCAGCGTCTTGGCTGCGGTCGGTGCCGTACGGCGGAAGCCAAGGGACCGGAGGAGACGAGAAGCAAACGCACGACGACGAATGCGCAAGTGGGCCATGAATAATGTTTCCGTGAGGGCAACGCTACAGTAGGAGGCCAACCACAAGAAACTTTTCACGAGAAACCCAACCCTGAGACCCCAGGACGTCCATCGATTCTTGGTGTGGGAGCGCCACGCTCTCCATGGCAAAACTATCGAAGCTCAAAATACCCAGGGCACCCTAGAGGCAAGCAAGGTGTTTCTTGGCATTGGCCTCCACTCGAGCAGGGACCGACCGTCCCAGCATTCCTATAGGCCTACCAGGAAGTGTTCTTAGAACCCCAAAGTGTTATAAGACCAAAAACAATGTTCTCAGAGCACGAGCACGATGTGTTAAGACGAGACGGTCACAGCCAAGCATGCTCCGAGAACATCTCGCGCAGACCACACGAGGTTCTCAGAACATTGCTTGGCAGGCTCATAGGAAAGCCGGGACGCCTCGCCACTGCCTGATCCACTGCTTGGCAACACAGCCGCAACCTTCGACGGTCCGGGCGGCTTCTCGGGGGGACCTGCGCGGGAGTCCCCCCACGCCTGGGCACGCGGAAACGCGCGCCCGGGGTTCGGCGCGCCGGAGGCGCCGCCACGTGGGGGGCCGCGGGGCGAGCCCTGAACTCCCCACGGAGCTGCCGCAGTTCATGTCCCTCGCCCTCGTCCTCCTCCTTTTCCTTATCCTCCCGCTCTGCCCTCCTCCCGCCCTTGTCACCTCCACCGCCTCCTTCTCATCCTCCCCCTCCCTCCCTCCCTCCCTCTCTTCTCCTGCTGCCTCCTCTTCCTCGTCCTCCTCCTCTTCCTTCTCCTCCCTCCCTCCCTCCCTCCCTCCCTCCCTTCCTCCCTTCTCCTGCTCCCAGGGAAGGGGCGCAGAGGCAGGCCGAAAGAGAGCATTCCCTCATAGCCTGTGCCGGTCCCTGCCTTCTCCTACTCTTTCCTCCTCCTCCTCCTCCTCCTCTTTCTCCTCCTCCTCCTCCTCATTCTCCTCCTCCTCCTCCTCCTCCTCCTCCTCCTCCTCCTCCTCCTCTTCCTTCTCCTCCTCCTCCTCCTCCTCCTCTCCTCCTCCTCCTCCTCCTCCTCCTCCTCCTCCTCTTCCTTCCCCTCCTCCTCCTCCCCTCCTCTTTCCCCTCCTCCTCCTCCTCCTACTCCTCCTCCTCCTCCTCTTCCTTCCCCTCCCCCTTCCCCTCCTCCTCCGCCTCCCCCTCCTCCTCCTGCCTCCCCTGGCCCCATCGCTCCCAGGCCGTCTTTTCGGCGGTCCTCGGCGGTGCTCGGACGATTTCCGGCGGTTTCCGGACGGTCTTCGGCGGCCTTCTGCTGGTCTTGGGCGGTCACTGGCGGTCTCCAGCGGCCTTCGGCGCGACATCTGGATGGTTGCGGTCAAAGAGACGCTCATGATCGGCCGCCCAAGGTTGACAACGCTCTGACCGCGCATGGTCAGAAGATCAGAGAACGCATACACGTGAATTCTCAGAGAGGTCTGCGCAGAATTCGTGGATCGTGCTGAAACCCCCTCCCTGTCGCGCGGAGCGCGCCAGGAGCGGCGCCGAAAGCGCCGCCACGAGGACCCAGCGCCGATCCAAGACATCCGCGTTGACTTCCGAGAAAACATGTCCATGCAACGTTGTTTTTCTTCGATTGGTAGGAGGTGGCACGCTGTTCCCTCCCTCCTCGGATATCGAAGTGCTCCTCTGGGACAAGTGTCGGTCTGCCTCCGTGCGATCATCGGCTCCCTCGCGGCCCTCCCGGGGCCTCCCGACCCCTCCCTGCAGGCACGGCGGAACCCGCCGTGGGGCCCCATCCATCAGGTGACAGTGTTCGACCCTCTCTGTGGTGCCATAATACAATGGAGGCCAGTCAACAAGAAACCATGCACAAGAAACCCAACCCTGAGACCACAGGATGTCCGTTGATTTTTGGTCTTGGAACGTCACGCCGTCCATGGCAACACCATCGAAGCCCAAGAAACCCAGGGCACCCACTGTACTATACAGATGCGATGCCAACCACACGCTCTGATCCGTTGCCTCAATCTGGTCGCCCGTCTGCCCGTCTGGTGTGGGCTGGTAGCGGGGATCCCCGAGCAGGGGTCGATCATTTCCCTGCGAAAGGCGGACGGGGAGGGAGAGATGAGAAGTATCAGAATGGCATGGAAGACGTGGCAGACGGTGCCCCTGCAAATAATGCCTTTCGCGCGATGCCTGCGCTGCATCTCTAAAACCATTTGGACTACCTCGTCTTCATCGCAAGTGTACCCTTATCCCCCCCTCCATCTCCGCCACCTCCTCCTTGTCCTCATCCTCGTCCTTCTTTTTGTCTCTCGCCCTATCTCTCTTCCTCTCTCTCTCTCTCTCTCTCTCATTCTCCATCATGATCATCAGTATCGCCCTCCGTCTCCTCATTATCTACATTCCCTCCCCTCCTCCTGACGTATTCTCCTCCTCTATCTCCATCGCCTCCTCCAACCCCACCTCCACCTCCGGGTGATCCTTCCATTCCCCCCGTTCTTACCCAGTCTCCCCTTATCCCCCTCCGCCCATGCGTCTTACTCGTCATCCTGGCTGTGGAGCCAAGGCCAGTCCCTACGTCTCGAGATACAATTCGGGGGCGACCTCGCAATCGAGACTTTGGCCCACGCACACGACCCAGACTGGGGAGATAAGGGCGAGATCCATGGAGAGGCTGGAGGAGGCCAAGATGTTCATGGGTACCTGCCGCCAACAAAAGGAGGCTGGAGAGGGCCCCCAGTGAATCAGAACTCGGCGGCGAGCGAGGGGGGTAGGTGAGAAGGAGAAGGCCTTCTCAGGAGGCGGCGGGACTTCTCAGAAGCTCTCGCGCGCCTTCTGAGAAGCTTTTTTGTGCGTCTTCTGGGAGGGCTCAGAACACCTTTCGGGAGGCCCAGTGACTTCCGAACCTTCTGCGAAGGCCCGCCGCTCCTTGCTTCCCCCCCCCCCTCGCTCGCCGCCGAGAATCGGCGCCGCCACCGTGCGTCGCCGCCGCCGCTGTAATTACCACACCGCAGCCCCGCTGCGCAGTGCTGCACGCCAGCTGCACGCCAGCACGAGACCCCGTCTCTTCGGGGATGGACAGACCCCCCTTTAGTAAAACGTGGTTTAGCGAAAACGACCTGAGGCCCAAACCTGGCGGGCGCGAGCCTGGAAAATGAACGGCCGCGGCGCCCTCTCGAGCACCGAGCACGGACAATTCACTACAGTCGGGGCCTTGACCTAAGGAACCCCAAAATAAGGAACGAGGCCCTTTTTTCCCATAAGTGGACCTTCGCTTTCCGATCGCCAGCATAAAGGGAAACCCGAGGCAAGCTGCGAAACCCTCAAGGCACGCGGAGCCCCTCCCCAACGAAAAGGGTTCCTTCTTCAGGGCCCCGACCGCAGTCGACGTGTCACCGTTGGGGGCCCTGCCCACCCCCGACCCCTCTCTGGCGCGCGGGGGGCCTCCCACGCCCTGCCATCGGGGGGGATGCCTCCTCGCCGGGCGGATCTATATTTTTTTGCGGGGCCGGCCGCGCGCCGCCCCGCAGCAGCTCCTTCCCGGGGCCCCGGCTGCGGGGCTCAGCGCAAGGGGCCCAAGGACACACAGCTGAGGACACACACAAATCAGAGGCTTCCCCACATGTTCCCACATGTTCGGCGCCTTTGGCTTCTCGCCCGATTCCCATATGTTCCCGTATTTTCTGGGGGATCGACGATGAATTGTGCCTGTACGCTTTTTCCCCTCCTGATCAGCGCTGGCCGCCTTCGACCGCGCATGACGCCCGTCATTCCCCGTCAAAACACAACTCCCCGGGCGTCCGCGGCGGGTCCAGCCCGAGCAGAAGCGAGACGACCCTACCAAACCTGAGCTCCTATCGGACACTATCCCGAACGATCTCTCGAGCCGCACCCAACCACGGTGACACGAGAACTGCCCTTTGGAAAAGCCACGACCTTGACAACACACACGCTAGTTCAAGCATCCTTGCCGTGGTCTCCCATTTGCAACAACGGAGGCGGCACAAACGCGCGACGCCGCCGCCGACCACCATCCTCAAGGAGACGAGCAAGCCCGCGGATGGTGCTGTGAGTCAGCGCATCGGCGACTCGCCCAAGACAACTTCAAACCACAACTTATGATTCCAAAGGTTGGCGTCTTCCTCCTACTTCTGCCGGAGAACCCACAATCGAATCGATCGGATCGGCAATCGAAGTGAATTGGATCGGCGGAAATCGGCAGCCGAGTCGGGAAAAACGGAATTGGCGACAATCGGCAGCCTAGTAGGCCTCCAATGAGAAATCGGATCCCATCTCGAAATCCGAAGTCGAATCGAACCGGAATCGGAATCCATCGAGATCGAGTCGAATCGAACCGGAGGAATCGAAACGAGCCCTGCTTCTGGCGCCGTCTGCCAGCCTTCCGCTTGCGGCGCCGTCGCCGCTCCACCTTCGCCGGCACTCCGCCCGCTCCCGCCGCTCGGGCCAGGCACTCCGCAGGGGGCGAGGGCCTCGCGGGCACACCGCTCTCCCTTCTGGACCCCCCCCCCGCGCCGCGCGAGATGTCGAGATATGACGAGCGGCAAGCACGTCCGCATCCGCGCCCTCGCGGCCCGGATTCCGGGGCGCGACCCCGCGGATGCGCGGTCGCACGGACACGTTCCGCGCGAGACATCCGTGGAGCAAAACGCTCCGTGGCCGCGGGGTCGCGGCCCGGGGGACCGGCCCGCGGGGCCGCAGATACGACGGATACGCTTGTCGTTCGCAACGGTGTCACTTCCTGTAATGCGGGGGAGGGGTGATCGGATGCTTGCCCCCTCGGCGAGCCCCAGCCCGGAGGATCTCGCGCGTCCTTCTCGTCCCAGCCGTTGATGTCGGCAGCGGGCTCGCCGGGCGTGCCGTCCTCGCCGACCTTGGCCTCAAGGAACCCCTTGATGCCCCTAATGTCTGCGCGCATCGCCGCCTCGTGCAGCGACTTCGAGGGTTCCTGTCAAGAGGCTGGAAGAGGCGCAGGTACGGTAGTTTCTGACGGTGGTTGCCTGAGCGATTTTCTAGAACACGCTAGGCAATACTCACGATGGTACCGGCGATCGTGAGACTGCCGGCGCGCCAGGATCTGGACAAAAGATCCTCCTTCTCACTCATCTCCTCCTCCAGCTCGCAGAAGCACAAAGAGAGAGAGGCCAACCAGAGGTCACCTGAGCGACCATCAAAAACGGATCTTGCGCGAGATCACACATAGGGGGCCCACAAAGGACGTACGCGCCCAGCTATGTACATGAACACGGTCCCTTGAAACGCGAGACCAGCCGCGTGACACGAACATTCGCGCAATGCGAACTCTCGAAACCAGCGTGGATTCATGTACGTGTACGTCCTTCTTTCGCTCCTGAACATGGCTACCTTACGCGGCGGCTTACGCGGGCCACCAGCGCGGCACGCCACAGTGGAAACCAGAGTGCCTACGAGCGACCTTGCGCGGGAAGCTCACGCGCCAATGTCTACGCAGACGACCCTGTTTTTCTGCGTCGCCAACCCGAGAAAGAGGCCAAAAGAGCTCCTACGGCCAAGGGTCAGCTGAACAGGAGTTCAAGGGAGGGGCGGAAGGAGAGAGACGGATGGGGGCGGGACGTCATAGAACCAGGGGGTGGGCAAACTCACGGTGCGAAGAGGGAAAGGACGGAGGTCGAGGCGCATGGATGAGCAGGGAGAGCACATGAGGTATGAGTGAGGCGATGGAATGAGGACACACACAGTGGAGGCCAGTCTACAAGAAACCTTCCACAAAAACCCAACCCTTAGACCCCAGGGCGTCCATTGATTATTGGTGTGGGAACGTCGCGCTTTCCATCGCGAAACCATCGACACACAAGAAACCCAGGGCACCCTGGAGGCAAGCAGGGTGTTCCTTGGCATGGGTCTCCACTGAACAACGAGGGCGGAGGAGCAGGGATACCACAGGAGGGGGAAGGCGCCAAAGGGGCGCCCACCCAGCCCACGAGGCGCCCACGAGGCGCCCACAGGACAGCACCGGGCGAAACCTCTGCGAACCCACCTGCGCTCGAGGAGCCCACAAGCGTGCGTCGGGAGGGCACCAGCAGACACCTCAGCACACCCACCCAACACGAGGCGCCTAGGAGGCGCCCGCCAACGGGGCTCCCGCCGAGAATCCGGCACACCCAACCGACTTCTGAATATCGTTGATCAGATCCCCATCCACTGCGGCGTGGGCTGGGCCCCACTGGCCGATTTACCCCTGGGTGGGGATATAGGCCGTTCCCTTCGGGTTTCGAAGGGTGTATCCCCAAACCGGGGGGGGGGAACTTTGGTGGGGGTCTCGAAGTTCGGATGGGGATGGGGAGGGGGGTCGAGTCAACGATACCGAACTTCCTTGAGGCAGAGGTCCAGGGACCCCTGAGCTCCACAGCCGGTGCTTGCACGGAAGGCTCCCTTTAAGTCGGGCCAACAGGGGGACTTTCGACGAAAAATAAGAAATACCACAAACAAAATAGCCAAAACAAATTCCAAAAATAGCATGGGGACTATTTCTGTGAATATTTGTTCAACAATTTGGGGGCATTTTTGCGGCATTTTTAATTTAATTTGTCGTCGAAAATCCCCTTGTAGGGGGACACGCCCGACAGAAGGCTCCCTGCCCCTGACTCGTGCAGTTTGCGTGGGTGTCCCGGGCGCGTCGGCGAAGCGAGCGCGTGGCCCGGGCGCCCCGTGGCCGCCCCGGTGCGCCCGGGGTGGTTGCCGCGACGCCTCGCCGCACTGGCGCCCGCGCCCGCCCGCGGGAGCCTCGGGGCGCCTCGGGGACGCAGCATGTCCGACGAAAACTCAGCGCACGCCGAATATTACCAGCCTCGAACGTGAACGTATCCCTATCCCTAAGATGGACACGCCACAAGGCGATGACAATCTTAGGGATTCGCCCTCACATTATAAGGGAATCCCTAAGATTGGCATCGTGACGAGCAGGTGCCCAGCATGGGGATAGGGGTATGTTCCAGGCTGGTAATGATAGCTTATGCCATACAGTTTAGACGACAGCATTGCTCACAGCTCACACCACGTGGCTTGCACAGCATAGCTTACACCTGCATGGCCCACACCGCCCAGCCTGCAAAGCATGGCCAACCAACACGGCGCCGCCTGCACAATTCGTCGCGCAGCTGTCAGCACGAGGCTTGCACAGCAGAAGCGTTCAGCACAGAGCTCGCACCACATCGCCTACACACGGCAAAGCTGCCACCTCCATGTTCTACAATGAGACTCACCGTCTCTGCGCCCGTGCTGGCTCACGCGGGAGCTCTCCCCGTGGGAAGAACTGGGCCCAGCACCTGCCGCATCTGAGCTGACGCCGGTGAATCAAGCTGCGCTTCCCTGCCTGCTCCACCCCAACAGGCCCCGCAGGAGTCCGAGGGAAGCCTCCGACGTTTTCGCGACGGCCGCGCGGCGCACGAGCAGAAGGGGGGCGACAGCACCGCGGCACCTCCTCGGGTGCAGTCAGAGGCGCTGCACTGCCCGCGTGCTTTTGCATCGCAAGGATGTGGCACCACGCCGCAGTCGAGGCTACCGAGGGGCACTGCGGGGCCGAATCGGAAATAAGCACGACAAGCGCAGGAGGAGCACGAAGGCGGAGAAGAAGCCGCGGACTGAGGAGCACGCCCAGCGCCTCAAGAAAATCTACGTGCGTGCTGGAGCACACCGTCCGAACTTCGGGGAGCCACCAAAAGGCAGCTCGGCTGCGGGGAGGGGACGACAATCGGCTGGCGAACTGGCCCTCTGTACCTGACAGGTGTCTTGGGCGAGGCGAGCACCTACAGACCTGCAGATAGCAGATAGTGAGAGGGGCGGTGTACAGGTCGGGCGCGCTGCAAGCATGCCCCAAGCCCGGTGTTGCACATGTCCGAACTGAGGCCTCTTGTTGGTGTCTTCCCTCTTCGTTCGTACAAGCCCCCCAAGTGGGGTCTGCGTGGATGGACGGGTTCGAACGATCGCGCCACGCCGCCTTTGCTTCGCACGTGCATCGGTGTCGTCGGCGGTGCATTGGCGACGCCGCGCGAGGAGGACGCGCTGCTCCGACCCCACCTGGGCGGCCCGGATTGAAGCCGTCTGCTGAGCCCTTCCCTCTTCGTTCCCGCTCCCCCCCCTTCTGCCGCTGTCGATGGCGGCGCTGCCATCGGATTGAGAGTGATGGGAGCGGCGGGCGGCGAGGGGGGCGCAGGGATAGAGGAAGAGGGCTCGGGATAAGCTTTTATGCCGCAGCGCGACACGAGCCATCCGCTCGCACGCTCTAATGGGTCGGGCTACGACATGGCACGAAGTGTCCGAACGCGGACGGGCGGACGGACGCTGCAGTTCGCGCTGCATTGTCGAAACCATGTTCTTGGATCTCCTCTGGCGAAAGTCTCCTCCTACCACTCGGGATGTCTGAACTTTCTGTCGCATTTCCAACCATTGTGGAACTGATCTGGACGTGATGCACCGCCGTGCTAGCTAGACGTGTCCGAACACGGGAAAAGCACACAAACTGTTGGAGTTCCGCGCGTGCTTCTTCGGAGTCCGTTGGACCTCCCCCCCCCCGGCGCGCGGGGGGCGCGCCAAGGGCGGCGGCGGGGGCGCCGCCGTGGAGGCCCCAACGCCGATCCAACAGATCCGCGCGGAGCGTCGGCAGTTGACGGCCCGATCCAGGACATAATAACATCCATCAATTGGCGGCGCGCACGAGGGGGTGGGGGGAGGGGGGAGGGCTTCCTAGAAGGAGGCTGCTTCTTAGAAGGCGCCGGCCTTACATATATAGAGAAGGCCCGCGCCTTCTAAGAAGCAAGGGTGCTTCTAAGAAGCCCTCCCCCTCCCCCCACCCCCCTCTGCGCGTGGCTGAGTCAAGGACATAAGACCCTCCACCAGCCTAGCTGGAGAACGAACGTTCGAGGGTGCCCTCCCCTAGGATGTGCAAGAACATCCAATAATTGCACAGAGAACAGTAGGGTATCCCTTAGTGGGCCCGGAAACGACAGTGTCGTTCTTTTCATCGCTTCCAATGCACAGGATCTTGACAGTGGAAACATTTTGAGAAAAAAACGGCAGCTCGAAACGGCAACAAAAACAGCTCCAGAATTGGAAGCGGAACGGGAACCAACAACAAAAACGGCGACGGAACCAAAAAAAAAAGGCGCTGGAGCAAACAGCAAAAACGTCAGTAAGGAGCCGATAAAAGACGGCCCTGTCGCTTCCAGGGCCCGCTAAAGGGTACCCTCGCCGAACCGACCTGGATCTTATGCCTCGGTCCGACCGTGTGTTATCTAAGCTTCTTACAGTGGGGGTCCGTCCACAAGAGACCTCCCACAAGAAACCCAGCCCTGAGACCCCATGGCATCCGTTGATCTTCGCGTGGGAACGCCGTGCCCTGCACCTGAGAACGCCCAGAAAAAAACAGGGCACCCTGGAGGCAAGCAGGGTATCGCTTGGCATGGGTCTCCAGTGTAAGCTCCGAGTAGAGGATCGACTACAGAATTGATTTGCCCCCAAATTGATTTTCCCCATCGAAGTTATGACGGATACGTAGAATGCTCGTGCATCCACTGAAGATTCTGAGTATTCTTCCGTAGATTTGACGAGACAATTCATTTTGGGGAAAATCAATTCTGTAGTCGATTCCCTACTCGAAAGCTTCTTCGAGGAGCGCAGCGGGGAGAGGCGGGCGCAATGAGGGGGGGGCAGGGCGGACGGCAGCCCGGGCCTGGGTGGCGGCGAGCGACTCCTCGATGGCCCCCTCGGGGAACTTGCCCGTCCTCTCGAACTCCTGCCGGCCCCGCTGCCCCCGATGCGTGCCCCGACGCAGAGAGGCCCCTGGCCCCCCGCGGTGAGGGGCGAGAGGGGGCACTTCTCCTCTGCCGGGCTCTCTCTCCTCGTCCTCCTCGCGTGCCTCCTCGTCCTCCTCGTCCTCCTCGTCATTCTCGTCCTCCTCGTGTGCCTCCTCTCCTCGTCCTCCTCGTGTGCCTCCTCCCCGTCCTGCTCTTCCCTTTTTTCTCGGACGAGTCCTCCGCCTCCTCATTCTCGTCCTGGGGGATGAGGGGAGGGAGGGAGGAGGGAGGGTGGAGGGGATATGGAGGAGGAGGAGAGCGAAGGAACAACGAAGAGGAGGAGGGCGAGGGAGGAAGAAAGAGAGGGGGAAGACTAGGCACATCCAAAAGGACCCCATCGTGCTACACGCAACATGAATAACAGGGTTGTGCACGTTGGAAGGACAATGAGGTAACGGATGGGAGGCAGGATGAGCAGGAGGTAGGACGAGGGGTATGCGGAAGGATGAGGAGGAAAAACAGCAACATGAGCAGGAGCGGGACACTCGGAAAGAGCAGGGGGGGGCCAGAGGAACGCGGAGGAGGGGAACCGAGCGGGGAGGAATGACTCGGATCCATAGAAAGGTGGCCGGCGCGGTGGCGAGACCGCGATGCTGAAGGACGGGAGCAAAACTCCAACCCAGCAAACGAGGCCCACGCTGGAGATGAGTGTAACGAACCATCAGCAGCGGCACCATCGGTTTGGACACCTGGATCTGTGAAAGCTATGCACGCGGGGAACAGGGGCGGAATGCTCACTGGAAGTGTGCAGCATTCATAGTGGGCACTCGTGGAGGAGCGCTGGGGACAGAAGAGGGGATTGGAGGGAGGAGGAAAGAGGAGTAAGGGGGAGGAAGCGACGACAACGCAACGCATCGCAAAAGAAAGCGGCACGCGGCGCGGAAGAGGGAGAAGTGGGAAAGGGGGACCAGATCGAGGGCGAACGGTGGTGAGGGGAACGGAATACAGGACGGCGAGAAGGGTGAAGGGGGGAGGGGGGGAGATGATGGGGAGGGATGGGGGAGAAGAAGGGGGATGGAGGGGGAGAGATATGGAAGGGGGGATGGACGGAGATTGAAAGGGGGATGAGGGAGAAGCGATGGGGGCAGGGAAGAGGAATGATGCAGGACGCAAGGCCAGTGAGGGGGCTAGGCCTGGGGAACACATAACCTGGCGGCAGAAGGTCCGAAACTGCGATGTTGAATCGAAAAGACATCACAACGTGAGATGTACGGACGGGAACGCAAACGGAAGATCATGAAAAAGAGTATATGGGAGAGCCTTCGGGAGACCATAACTAAGACCCTAGGGGAAACGATGCGGGAAACCATGAAGAAAATCACATGGAGATCCCAGGAGAACTGACAAAGGAGACCACAAGGAATACCAGAAAAGGAACTGAATCTGATATCATGTGGGGAACCACAAGGTAAACTTTCAGGGGGAACATACAGGAATCCATGCTGGATACCACGCGGGACACCCATACTACAGCCGTTTTACAAGTGAATCGTACGATCCTGACGAAGCAGGGGCACCGTACTGGGAGCCGATCCGCGCGACGGGGTGCGATGCTGATGTTCGCGGTCGCGGCCGCGAAGAATGCTTCATCGCCATCGCCGCCACCGCCGTGACCGTCGTCTTCGCATCCACGGAGATGTCGTCAGTGGCCACGCGGGCGCATTCTTGATGTCCATATTCCGATGGTCAGCCAGAGACAGAAAGCGGAGCGCTCTGAATGAACGGTCTCCGCGACCTAGCAGGTGAGGTCCGGCGTGAAATCCACTTCTCGAGCTCGGGTTTCGATGCTTTGCCACGGAGCACTGACCTCTTCGGCACTCGTGCCGAGGTCGGCAACAGGGCGCAGTAAAAGGCCCCCAGGGAGGGAGCAGCGCGAGGAGCTGCTGGAGCTGTTGGCCAAGCATGATGCGCGAAAAGCGAGGCGCGAGCAGGGGGGGGAAGGCGGACGGTGGAACGCCAAGAGCATGCAGCAGAGATGTTCGACCGAGCGCCGAGAGAGGAGCGGGTACACTCGCCTCTCGAGAGCGGCTTGCGAGGTGGGAGGAGAGGGGGAGGGGGAAAAAGAACAAAGTGCAGAAAGAGGGAGACTGATAGAGAGAGAGAGAGAGAGAGAGAACAACAACAAAAACAAGGGGGCGAAGAGGATGGAGATGACGATGAGGTGGATGATGAGAACCTCAGACGCGGAGACAAGGAATAAGGTGGAGGTTGCAGAATCTTCCCGTCCCCTTCTCTCACATCCGAGGCACCGTGGAAATACTACGAAGGGCGATTGCGCGCCACTTCGGGTCCTGACTGGGACCCTCACAGACCACATGGGCTGCGGAACTCTGCTGTTGGTGTTTTTGTTCCCCCGCGACGACGTTGGATATCGGGATTTCCCTTATCCTCCTCCTCCTCCTCCTCCTCCTCCTCCTCCTCCTCCTGGTCGGTCTCCTCGTAGCCAGGGATCTCTGACCGCAGCCCCATCTTGACAAACTGCGTCTGGGCCACAGTGAGGCCAGTGTTGGCGAGGTAGTACAGGGACACCGCCTGACTTTGCTTCTGCGGCGCTGCTTCGAAGAGCAACACGGAGAAGGCAATGGAGAACGCGCAAGCAGAACTGCACCACCCCTGAACAATTGCGGAGCAGAGCTTGGGATACAAGGGGGATGAGCTGGCGGCGTGTGCCGAACGTAAGGGCTCATTGAAAAATGCCTGCCATGACCGTCGGCAACGGCTCCACCTGGCTTGGAGAGAGCCTGCGGCCCCCGATGGCCACGAAACGGAGATGATCGCTTCTCGCCGAATCTAGGTCGAGAACCAGGGCGAACCGAGACAGTGGCAACTCAAATCTCAAATCGGCCCCCTGGCCCCTCCCCATGTCCAGACGCATCCACTTCCAGAGCGGAGTCCAGCCGTGGCGACGAGGGCCCCCCCGAGGCTAACAATCGTCACGCCCACTCCGCCCTCCTCTGAGAACACACGTCGGCCACGTCAAAGGGCGTGCGCTTGAGTTGGGGCTTTGACGGCACCGTTGCGACCGCTCCCCCCCCGGGGAAACCTCGACTGGTGCCGGCGCGAGCTCCCCGGAATGATTCATCTTTTCTGGGTGATTCTTCGCACCGCAGACAACAAGCAAACGTATCGAGGAAACGCTTCGGACGAATCCGCAGTGGAAATATTACTCAGGATCGGGCCACGTCGGGAGTCTCAGAGAACGCCGCGGCCACCTCCGAGCCCTACAGAGCGCCCGGAGATGCGTTCCAGAACGCTCGGGAGCGACTCGCCACGGCCCTAGGGGGGGGGTCGTCGGCAGCCTGCGAGGCTCGAAGACAAGCTTAGCCTCAGGTCTGGCACGTCCTCTTACAGGCGGACTGTGGAAGAAAATGAAGATTGTCAGACTGAAGGGGTCTAAGGACACACAAATAAACACACACAAATAAAACTATTCCCCAACTGTTCCTAGATTTTCTGGGTTTTGTCTTCCCCCCCACTTCCCATATTTTTCCATATTTCCTGGGGAATCGACGATTAATTGTGTCTGTGTGTTTTTGTTCCCTCTTGAGGACTATGCTTCACCATTCTTCGATAGTCCTCCTGCAGAGAGAAACGCCCAACTTCGGCTTAGCCCCCGGCAGGCCCCACATGACACAACGAGCCAGCCGCAGGCACCGACTCTTGTGCCACAGCAATATATGGGCGGGTCGCGGGCGGATCGCGCGCAAGGGCGACGACAACACCACAGCAGCAGCAAGAATCCGCACCGCTGAACCCCACTTCAGCCACGCACCAAGGGCCGGTGAAATACCGCTCGCCCCCCTCATTCTGATCTTCTTTCTGGGCCTTCCTGACCCAGGCCATCGAGACGGATGGAAGACAGAAGTTCGGCTGTTCCTCCTGCTACTCTGGCGGGCGAGCTGTCCCGTCGGCGTCCCAGTCCAGGCCCTGCCTGTTCAGTGGAATGTCCACAGGCTCATACAACTTGTGAAAACTATATGATGGGGGTGCAAAGTTCGCGAGGGTCCAGAATCTCCGATCTCAGAGTTGCCGGGCTTTCCTGGGCGCACTTGGGGGTGAGCCGCGTGGGCTCCCTGTGCCAAGCTGGTGGAACAGCCTATCGTTTGTCAAGAAGAGGTGGCTCAGAGGGTGCGCTGGGCTAGGTGCCCAGGACCTTTCCCGACCATGGCGACCCGAACAACACGTGGATCATCCCTCTAGCCCCCAAGCGAACCCCTGGATGCCACCTTGGCGGCGGCACCATGCGAGCACCTCCGCTTGCCCCAGGAGTGCGGCTCCGAAGCAATTCCGCGCGAGGGGTGACCCATGGTGGGCGCGGCAACGCCGTGCGAGCACGTCCACCGGGGCCGTCGGTGGAACTCCCCGTGGGGCACGTCGCGCGTCAACGGGTGTGCCGGAAGAGACACGGCGGCGCCATGGTAGCACATCCGCCGGGGCCGTAGGTTTATGTCGGGCGTGTCCCCCCACAGGGGGATTTTCGACGAAAAACAAAAAATACCAGAAACGCCGCAAGAAGGTGAAAACATACTGAAAAAAACAATCCCGACTATTTTTTGACTATTGTTTGACTATGTTTGGGGTATTTCTTATGTTTCGTCGAAGATCCCCCTGTAGGGGGACAGGCCCGACTTAACCGCAGGTGGAGCTCCCCGTGGGACAACACGAGCGTGCCAGGTCTGTGCCGAGCTGGGCGCGGCGGCGTCCCTGCCAGCACCTTGGATGGGGCGGCCGTGGATGGAGCTCTCTCAGGGGGGGCGGGGGCAGGCCGAGGCGCGCCCCGGCGTCGGCGCGGTAGGACGCACGCGAGCAGGGGGGAGGATGGGGCAACGGAGCAGCAGCGGGGGGGGAGGAGAATTGCGGTGCGACGCGCGGCGCTTCGGCGTCGGACCGAGGACCCGAGGCACCGGAGGGCTTGGGCAAACATCTGCATAAACACCAACACCGTCGGACGTGCGCGCGGATTTCTTGAGGATGTCTTGGATCGGCGCCTACCTGGCGCGCGCAGCGGGCCAATGGTGGCACAAGAGGCTCCGCTAGGGGGTCCATCGCCGATCCAAGGAATCCGCGTGGGCCTCCTACAAAAATAAGAGTAGGGCGTTGTTTGCTCGGCGATCCACAGACTTCCCATCGTCCACCTTCTCCGCCCAACCATTTTCGTCAGTATCCCCCCTCCCCCTACTCCTCCTCCCCCTCTTGTGCCCTGCCTGGGGCAACTCCAGGGCCAGGGAGCCGACAAAGTAGATGGAAATGGCGGGCAGAAGCTGCATGACGAGCTGCTGCTCCTCCGAACCGCCCTTGGATGCGTTCTTCGCCTGTGCGTCCTGACAGGGGACGCGAACGCTCCTTCTCGTCCTCCTCCTCCTCCGCCTCCGCCTCCTCCTCCTCCTCCGCCTCCTCTGCTCCACGAGACGGAGGGAGGGAGGAGCAGGAATGAGGCTGGCGGGCAGGGGAAGGAGGAGGAGGAGGAGGAAGGAGGAGAGAAGGGGGGCGGATGGAGAAGGGAGCGAGGGGGGGTGATGCTCCAACCCCTCCTGCTCCTCCTTCTCCTCCTCCTCCTCCTCCTCCTCCTCCTCCTCCTCCTCCTCCTCCTCCTCCTCCTCCTCCTCCTCCTTCTCATCCTCCCCCTCCTCATCCTCCTCCTCCTCCTCCTCCTCGTCCACCTCGTCGTCGTCCTCCTCCTCCTCCTCCTCCTCCACCTCCTTCTCCTCCTCCTCCTCCTCCTCAACATAAACCCGATGAGTTAAAACAAGACAGTCCTAGCCAAACATGTTCTAAGAACAGTTCGTGGGAACCACAAGAGGTTCTTAAAAAATTGTTTGGTGGGGCTATAGGCAAGACGGGACGCTCCGCCACTGCAGGCCGCCTCTGCACTCCAGCTCCTTCTCCCCGACGAGGGCGAGCACGAGGGGGAAGGAAGGGGAGGGGAGGCGAAGAACGGCGGGGAGACGACGGGCCGAGGCTCTCCGGGCCCGAGGGCGGGCGTCGGAGAGGGCGAGGGAGGGGGCGAGGACAGCGAGGAGGAGGGGACGGAGAGAAGCATGCGCAGGGAAGGTAGGGAGTCGGCTGCACGGCACAGTGACTCTGGGTAAGACAGACCTTTGGTGCGCGGTTCAACGGGGGATGCGAGGTGGCCAAACCCACTCGCGCAAGCCGCTGCCACCGCTTGGCGTTCAGCGATCGGGGGAACTCATTGGGCCCGCACCAACGGTCACTCGGGAGAAAGGTCATTCTTGAATATAGTGGAGGGAAAGAAATGAGTACGAGGAGACTGAAGAAACGGACAAGGAGGGGCCAGGGGACGAGCGAGGGGAGGTGGAGGCTGAGGAGGACGAGGCCCAAGTCCTGCTGCTGGAGCACCGACGAGCCTACGAGAATCGCCGGGAGCACGAGGTACGCGCCGTAGTCCGCCCAACCCATCGCGGGTGCGCCGTCCTTGAAATCGAGCAGCCAATCGAATTTGAACTGGAAGTCCGGGTTGGGCTGCGCGAGCGAGGGGATCCACAGGAAGCCCTCGGCAAGTCAACACCGAAACGAGGCATGTCCGAATAGAATGCGCGCAAGATCGGGCTGCATCGGCATGGACTCGGAAGCAAACCGGATTGCCCGCGTCAGGATGCACAAGAACACCTTGCAACGTGTCGGGCCGCCTCGGATCGACGGGCAGTCGGAACCGAAGCTCGGAGGAGGGCCCGCTGAGACAGCAGCGGCTCCCCCGCCCAGCCCAGGTCCGCTCAGAACCTGTCACTGGCCGCCGTCCATCCAGACCCTCCTTTGTCGGGGCGGATCCAACCGGGACGACGGGAAGCGTCCAAGAGGCCCAAACAGAGCGGAGGAGGAGGAGGAGGAGGAGGAGGAGGAGGAGGA